TTTTAAAGATGGCTAGTTTTTCTTAATTGACATGGAGAAACTTTTCAAGCCTTTTAACTAAGATATTATAATAACTAATATAAATGGAAGAGCAAAAAAATAATTCTAAAGAATTATACTTCATTCCAAAAGACAATATCTATATATAAAATTCTCTGAATTCTGTTAGTCCATCCATCTGTCTGTCACACCTTCTAAAATTGCCATATATTGATCAATCAAAAACAAATTTCTGGGAGAAGTCAGGGACTATAAAGTACAGTTGATGGGTGCATAGCTTAGTGCAATAAATGTTCATTATTTTAATGGAAAAATTAAAAGTTTTATTATTTAACATACAAAATACTCCCACTATTTAAAAAAAAAAATTCAATTAAAATAAATGAATCAATAATTAAAATAACAAGCGCCAATACTGGCATTTACTTTAGTTATTTATTCTAGATTTTTTTCCCTTCTTGGTTTCCCTGGCTGAGAACTCACTGATGGGACATTTGAATCACCATTTTTTCCTCTCCTTCTAATTCATTCTCTCTCCTGCTACCAGGAAGTTTACCTGTGTTTTAATAAAGAAGCTTTCAACACAATCTACTTAATATTAGCAAAATACTTATTTAATAAAAATGCAATATTTTTTTGAATAACTTTTCTTTAAGTTTTTATATATATACAAGAATCCAGTTTCTAGTCTTCCCTGTGTTTGCAAGAACTATAAACAAATCACAAGGCCAAGTGCTTCAAAATGTTGGAATTTGGCTCCAGAAAGAAATATTTATGCATGGCCAGTTGTATGTTGCATGCTAAAGAGTAAGAAATCCTAAGAATTTATTCTTTGTTGTTTAAAAAGAAATTTTTATAAAATATATTGTTTGCCATGAAGTGCTATAAAATGAAACTAAATTAAAGAAATTATTAAACCATGAAGTAGGGTTTCTCTAAAAATGTTTTTACAAACAAACAGCTTCTTCAAATTTCATCGATTGGTTTGCAAAATTGAATGAAATGTTGAGTTTGGATATCTCGACAAAAATGTTCCTGCTAACTTTAACAATACTAAATACTTGGATGATTTTAACACATGTCAATGTTGCAAAAATATTCTAATTATTAGAAAATTTGCTGTTTATTTTTTATTACTGTTTTTGGTTTTAGGTGTTTTATTCTAAATTTGGCAAACTTGGACTTTTGAGCCCAAAAAAAACAGAGCATCAAAAGGACTGTCCATCACTCCGAATATCTTCACTCCTCGGTAATATTCATTGTTTCAAAAAGTGATGATTAGAATTGCAATAAAACCCAAACATATGGTGAAAACAAATTTATGCATGCCTTCCTGTTCTTGGGAATACACAAATATATATATATTATATGTTCGTAACATCTGATAAGTTTGATAACATTATCATTAAACGAAGAAAGAAATTCACAATATTGATCCATATTTTTTTAATATAATCTAAGCTTTCGGCTTACTTAAGCCTTTATCAAAGATGTAAATTACAAACATATTAAACAATTGTCGGAGTTACCTCCTCCTTCTATCCTTGAATCGGCAGAGGAACAGGTCATTTCGACCTTGACCTCTCATTCATGCTCCTTACACACTGTTAACACGTCGGAGGGACTAGCAAATCCCCTTTTTAGTTAGGTTATATTACAAACCTAGTTGTAATATACTACTAGTCATTTTTAGACCTTAGTTCTCTTTAGCTAACCTCGTAGTATTTTATTATAGAGACTTTTCGGTTAGCTTAGCCAATTTCTCTTGCTGGTCTCCCTTGTCACAAGACAGTGATTTCTCACTAGATTCTAGAAACGGTCGGCTACGCAGGCCCCTTGGCCTTCATTGGCCAAGGACGCCGATCAACGGGCTGTGTATTAAGTTACGCTCCCATTTTTTTTTGTCTGCCAACTTGACAATAGTTGGGATCTTTATCTTTCTCTCTCTCTCCTTCCCAACACGTCAAGTTGGCATCCCGGCAATGACAAACAACAAGTTGGCAACACGAACTACAGCAACAAGTTGGCACCCCGGCAACGACAAACACGTCAAGTTGGCACCCCGGCAATGACTCAGCTTCAACAACCACCAAGCGATCATCCTGGCAACAACCCACGACCAGCTTCAACCCCCAACAACGATGATCCTAGCAACTCCCAACACCAACCTCGACCATCAATGCCTGCACTAAAACTTCTGCACCTCCACTGTTCTGACCATCTTTTATCTCTTTTTCTTTTCTAGAATAAATTAGCATTTATCATACATATCCTCGTTCTGTTGTCTATATTGTTTCACCGTCAGATTTAACGTCTTCAAAAATGTCAGCAGGCCTCTTGTGACCTCGTTCACCCCTTTCTGTGATACGGGGCCGCACGGAGTACCCGCTACACAATATACAGACACAACAGTGATGATAGTCTGTCATTGTTTACATAGATAATCTCTAAGCAATGATAAACACGTGCATATAAGACACTAGAAGCGAGAATCGCACCGCATCTCATGACGTCACACATGACCACACGAGAGTGAATTGGAGAATGAAGTAAGGAAAGCCAATGGCTTCTGTTACCAATTATAGACATTTATTTGTAGACATGCCATAATTGATTTTGTTTAGGTTGGGTTTTAACTGTTTGATGTATAATGCTTCAAGTATTTTTAGTTTTTGTCTATTGTTTTCATGTCGAAGTATAGTTGTGTTTTCGACAAGTATTTTACGGAATTGTGTGTCCGGGCAGGCATGTTGTTTTAAATGCCTAAAAATGTTAGAGTTTTCATTAAAATGTAGTGTCAAGCGTCGTGAAAGTGAGTTTGTGGTGTGACCAACATAAATATTATTTAATTCGTTGGAGATACACTCTCCCAAAGGGCACTTGAATTTATAAACTATGTTGGTTTTTTGCAAATCCCTAACCGGGGGAGAAGAATCATTGCGAAGTATTAAGTTGGATATACTAGATTTAGTGCAGTATGTGATTAATTTAATTTTTTTGCTAGGATCTGTAGTTGATATATTAGAATTTACTAAATTTTTTAGTATATTTTCATCTTGTTTATAATTAGTATGCATTTGATTACGATATAGGAGATTAATATATTTGAGATCAGTAGAAGCAGTATTATGTACAATTTGCTTATTATTGAGATTTCTAAGAAAGCATCTTATTTGTTCATCAACTATATAGTTTGGAAAGCTATTATTAAGTGTCTGTTTTATATTCTTTAGTTCACTGTAAAAAATCTGTTTTGTGGATGAATTAGTTTCTGCACGATGTATTAGATTCTTTATAATTGCTATTTTGTAGTAATATGGGCATTCGCTCTTGTAGTTAAGTGTACATGAATTTGTGCTTGTAGGTTTTTTGTATGGCGAAATAGTAAATTTGTTATTACTTGTGTTTATCAATATGTCAAGGAAGGGGATTTTATTATTAGTATTGAGTTCATATGTGAATTTAAGAACAGAATTATTTTGGAACCGTTTTTGAAGTTGAATTATTTCATCTGTATTTTTAACTAACATAAGAATATCATCAACGTATCTTAGGTTTTTTAAAATCTGTAAATAACTTATTTTCGAGGTTCAACATGTAGAAATTGCTAAATGTCGGGCCCAGTACTGAACCCATGGAGACACCATCACGTTGTATATATATATTGTTTATGATCGAAGAAAGGGACTTCAGTAGTACAAGTTAATAGTAGTTTTCTTAATATATTAGGATTAATTTTAACTGGGGGTAAAGATGAGTTACTGTATATATTTCTTAAGATTATGTCAATAGTTTCACTAACAGGGACATTGGTAAATAAGTTTTCAACATCAAGTGAAGCCATGATTTCATTGTCAGGTTTTTTCACTTTTTAGGATTTGGATTACTTCTAATGTTGACTTAACACTATATTTACTAGGAAGATAGGGAGTAATAAGTTGGTTGATGTATTTTGTTAGATGATATACAGGAGTTGGAATTTGCGATATGATAGGACGGAGCGGATAGTTAGGTTTATGTGTTTTTATAGTGCCATATATGTAGCCAGGTCTATAATCACCAACAATTTTCGGGAGTTTTAAAGAGTTCTGTTCAGCATTATTAGCATTAATAAGTTTAAGCTTTGATTTTAGTTGGTTGGTCGGGTTCTTGTCAAGTTTTTTAAACTTTGTGATCATGGAGTATGTGGTCTAGTTTTTTGTTGTAATCCAATTTGTTTAGGATGACAAAAATGCATGTGTGTGAGTGTGTGTACATGCAAGCTTGTGTGCTTACATGTGTGCATGTATGTGTTTATGTGTATTTGGGCAGCAACCTTTCTTTTAAACATCTTTTGTTAAATATGACAGAAAAGTAAAAATTTAATCAACTTTTATTTTTTCAACATTCTTACAATTATTCATTTGTTGGGCATAAGGGTGTGCAAAAATTGTCCATTGACCCAAGCGCTTTTAGCCACTTCTTTAGCCATTTTCAAGTGGGTTTGTTTTAGTTGTTGCTAATTTCTCTTCATATTTTGACTGTTCATTTTTGTGTTGTATCAAGCATTTATTCTGAGCCTTCTAGTGTTGAGCATGACTGGAATTAGAGTGAATGTTTTATCTTATAGCAAGATGTTTCTGGTAATGTGATCTATAAAGAATTTTAGTATATAGTATATATTTTTTGTAAAAAGCTTTCAAAACTCCCTTCCCACTGTTAAATAAGGTGAGGTTGATAGTAGGGGAGAGATATGAATATAGAGGGCCTCTCTTATAGCAAGATGTTTCCGGTAATGTGATCTATATAGAATTTTAGTATATAGTATAAAATGAATCTTTTAACGTATATGAGAATTGAAATTTTTAAAAAATATGACACCTTTAATAATTGGAACTCTGTATACTAATAAAAAAAAAGGTAAAGGCAAATCCATGGCAACCCATTTGCAAGAAATTCAAAAGACTGCACTTTGTAGAACTGCTCATTAACACAGAAGAACATTACCAATGTAAAGGGACTTACGGCCATATCACACTGAAATACAAGTTTCCATATGATCACTGAAGTTAAGCAACATCAAGCTTGGTCACTACCTAGATGGGTGAATGCTTAGGAATACCAGGTACTGTAAGCTTGGATGTTCAGGTGGTATAATGGTCTTATAGCCACATAACATTGAATCACTGGTCCCCATACGATCACTGAAGTTAAGCAACATTGGGCCTGATCAGTACCTGGATGAATGACTGCTTAGGAATATCAGGTGCTGTAAGCTTGGTTGCATGAATGGTGTAATGGATAATGATACAAAATTGGAAATTGGATAGTCGAGTTCCAATTCTAGTTGGGTTCATTATATTCACTTATGCACAGATATCATTGGGAAAGGTATGAATCCTCTTCTTCTCCCTCATCTATGGGTTAATTACTAAGACTTGTATCATTAAAATATTATTTCCTTAAAAAATAAAATTGTGTACAAAATATTTAGATTTCAGCATTAAATAACCCATAGAGGTGTTGATATGCCGCTAAACAAAAACAACCAACCAATAACCAATGTAAAGCATATATAAACACTGTACATGTTAAGTGTCACTTAACATCAGAATTTTTGCAAACAAAATGCATATATTGACTACCTTGCCTTATCTGAGTCCTTAGATAATGACCCAGTAAGGGATTGTACTGAACAGAAGGTAAGAAGTAAAAAAAAAGGTGACTTCAGATAATAAAAATCAGATAAATTGAGATAGGCATAGCTATAAAGGGGAGATGTTAAGATAGAAACTGAGTCACTTTTAACAATATCTCAAAACAGCATCACAAGAGTTGATCATATTAAGGCGAAGATAGAAAAAACACAGGAAATTGTAATCAATGAGAATTCAAATGATGCAATCACTCACATGATCAGCAAATGTTGCAAATTAGAGCAGAATGAATCTCATTGTTGCTCACAACGATGAGATCTTAGAGAGGTTGCAAACAAGGAGGAGGCTTATCCTTAATATCAGGAAGAGGCAGCTGAAGTTTCTGGGACACATAATGAGGAAGGAGGGCCTGGAGAATCTGATACTCACGGGTCAAATAGAGGGAATGAGAGACAAGGGAAAACAGTGTGTGACATACCTGGCAGACTTGAGTAGGTGGATGACAGAATGAGGTCTGGGGGAGGAAGCAGAGGGAAGGAACTTCTTGAGAGATCCAAGGGATAGAGGGAGGTGGAGAGCTACAATCACCTATGTAGAAAAGACATGGCACATAAAAAGAAAGGAAAGGCATGAATGGGGGGAAAGGTGAACCACTGAGAACTGTTCAAACGAATGAATTTTGACCTAGATCTATGATATATGCACAGATCCAAATCTGTTCTACACAATTAAACGTGTAAAATCCTCCAGGATGTTGGCATTCTAATGGATCATTATATTCACTTACAAACAAATGTATGAAAAGTTTGTTCAAGTTTGTCAATGGAGATATGTAGGAACTGATCATGTCGCAATGTCGTACAATATGATTTTTTAATTTTACATCTGGATATGTGTATGAATAGTTTCCTCAATTATTGCCCCTGGCAATAAAGTGATTTTATAAGTGAAAGTATGGGGCACCCAGTAAGGATTGAACTCATTACTCAGTCATAAATGTTTTAGTGAAACAAGCTTGCTAACCATTACATCACGTTGAGGATCTCTGGCAATATATACAAATTGATTCTTTGATTTTGTTCCTGGAGATATGTAGGTATTGATTCTTTGGTTTTATACCCCTGGAGATGTGTACAAATTGATTCTTTGATTTTACCCTTGGGTATTTTTATGAATAGTTTTTTCCATAACAGTTGTCCCCATCCTCATCATATCATCCAGGATAGTTATGATAAAGTTAGGAAAAGACATTGGAAGAATTCTTCATCTCCATGTGCCATGTCCCCTCAGGATGTACATGATGATGTCTCTCCACAATTTCCTGTCCTTTGTAGCACTTAATAAATTTTGCCTTTTTGTTATTTCTTCCACTGTCCATTTAGTGGGGCTCACTAAGTATGTTATGCATTGTTTTCTTCAAAAAGAATTATTGATATTTAGATGGCAAAATTGGCAGAACAATCAAGAAATATGTCATCAAAGAGTAGAAAATTAAAATGCCAAAAAACAACCCTGATTCTGTATCTGTCTATATTTCTGAGAGGAGGTATTATGTACACTATTTACATTATTCGGACTATTGTCCTCATCTTGGTTGCCATATTTATTACAACGTTTCGGCCTTTCAGTATCTGTCTATATTTCTGAGAGGAGGTATTATGTACACTATGTACATTATTCGGACTAGTGTCCTCATCTTTGATGCCATAGGACCCAAAAAGTGTGAGTTCAATACCTGGTTAAGGTGGTGGAGAACTTAGAGAGGGGAATTAACAGGAGATAACTGATAACTGACATCCACTGGACATAGCACATAGAACTAGAATAGTCTACCCCAGCAAGCGAAATAAAGGGTTTAGTTCGATATTCCAACCACCTGAAGAAGGCCGGAGAATATAATGGCCAAAACATTGTGATAAATATGGTGACAAAGATGAGGACAATAGTCTGAATAATGTAAATAATGAACCCTGATTCCTTTTGCTTTTATATGTGGAAATTTTACACTTCCACATCAACGAGCAAATATAACTGACTTCATAAAAAAATTTGTTTTCATGATGAAAGCTTCATATATTTGGGATTTTGTTTTTTTATTTTAAGTCCTTTTTTTATATAATGTACTTTTATTGTAGTTTTAATTACTTGTATTCATGAAACTTGAAAATAACATTTTAAGACATGACTTACACCCTTATGCAAATTAAAATTGAAACAACCACTTTAGTTTCTTTTCTTTCACCATACGGTCAGATTTAGACCTGCTGGAGTGACAGGATGTAATTGATTTCTATTTTTTTTCAGATCAGGTCATTTGCAATGGTGTGCACTAATATGAATCTATTTTCAGAGTGTATGATGAAATTTGTTTGGCCTTGAAAAATATTGTGTCATCCAAGATTGCATCAGATTTTTATCATGCCCAGACACTATTGTCTCGACTGTTGATTAGTTGTTCTATGGCCATTGTCTGCAATACGTGTTACTCCAAGTGTAGAATGGTGAGAAAATCAGGGTACTATAGACTGATCTGGAAATTCTCCTGATTTAAATCTGATGTTATGGAATAACCTGTCACCCCCATAAGTGACTACACTATAGTTAGTAACTACCTATAAGTATCCGTAAGGTAAAGGACTACAGGAGTCTAGCTGGAATCTTTACCAGCTGTGCTTGTTGAACTCTCTGCCTCCAAGGATCCTCAGACAAGGCTATGTCAAAGGGCAGAGTCTCATCTTGGGAAACAGCTACCCAACCCCTTTTTATACGGGGTCTATGAGGAATTTTTGGCCAAGTCTATGGGCTTTGTATTACCCCACATTAAATTTGCCTTTGTACCACATCCTACTTTGTGGGGAGGCTGTTAAATATCATCTAGCTGGGATCTGTTGAGTATGATTCAGACTTACGTGAGAAGTACCAACCTTCCAATAGTAGCATTCACTGCTATATTGACTTGCAATGACCTTGTGCATAACTGTTACCTTTATTCTTATTGTACTGGTTTTTGCAATAAACCTTTAATTATTTTATCCACCATGTCCTTCAAGTATATATTCCTATTAGCATGGAATATAACAAAATCCAATCAAGAATCTGTGGTCAATCTGCAAGGAATAACTTCTTGGAATGGATATATGAAATACCAACATCTGTACTGAGTCATGTTTTATTGGAAAAACACAAAAAAGGCAATAATTATGGAATTATTCATTTTGTTTCAATTAATTTGCACAAAGGTGTAATTTTTAGTCTTAATTTTAAAAATCAGAAAAATGGTACATGGGTTTTTGGCAAGAATCAGGACTTGAGAGAGCTAAACATAGTTGAAATTCATATTTAGTGCAACCAAATGACGTAGAATCGAGTGTCAGATATCATTCAATAATGTACATGTTCCCCACTGTTGTCTTTTTTATTTGAAGCATTTGTAATATTTTCTAGTTTATAAGACCATCAAGGATACTAAAAAAAGAATAAATGAAAGAGATTTGGAGTACTGAGGAGATTTTCTGTCACTTGATTACCATTAGTCCTCATCACATCGGACTGCTAAATAAAATCAACCAATGCAATATATATTTAAAAATACCTTTGCTTTTCAGGAATGCTTCTGTATTTTGTTGGCAACTTTTATAGTCTCAGAGCTGACAAAATAAATTTGCAAAATGCGATGAAGTATTGAATTTTTAATCTATGTCTTGTCTGTTTTTATGTGTCAGGGCTTAATTCATCGGAGAGGTTTTCATATTGTCATGAAAGATTACAATGCAAACATTGAAGAGATAGAAAAACCTAGAAATACAGAAAGAAACCATGACAGACAAGATTAGTTTATTCAGTCATTTAACATGGTCCCTTGTTAATTCAAATGTCTTGCACCTTTAAGGAAGTGCTGAAAAGTTTCTAACTCATCCAATTCCCAAAATATGAACAATTTCTTAATATCAGATTTCATTTTTTTAATTTTTTCTTCTATGTGCCATATCCATCCAGGATGTTGATAATCATGGCTCTCTTGTATGTAACAAACTCGACTGGAATTTGAATTTGGCTTTCCAACATCTCATTCTGAACTGTTATCAATCACGCCACCCACACAGCAACCTTACAGCACTTGGTACTAACCAGGCTCCTCTTCTTTATGTGCTGTGTCCCCTCAGGATGGGGTGATCATGGCTCTCCACAATTTCCTATCATTTGTAGCTCCTAATAAATTTTACCTTTTTGTTATCTCTTATAAACCCTGTTCTGCCATCCATACACAAGCTCACTAGGTAGGCTATGCATTTTCTTCCACTGTCTCACTTGCCCTTTGAGTATCAAATTTTCCAAGCCCTCCTTCCTCATTATGTGTTCTAGATATTTCAACTGTCTCTTTTTATCTGATGTTAAGTATAAATGTCCTTTTTGTATCCATTTTCTCCAAAACTTTATCGTTGCTCAAATGTTCATCCAAGTTATTCTCAGCATCTCCCTGTAGAACCACATTTTTATTGCTTCAAGTCTCTTCTTCATTTTTGAAGAGATTGTCCAGCATATGCTGCCATATTGGAGGACTGATATTACATAACAGTTCTAGCTCTAGAAGTGACACTTTGATCTTAGGTAGAAGACAT